GAGAGAGAGAGAGAGAGAGAGAGAGAAGGCACGAATTGGTTTAATTGGATATACAGGCTCGGGTGTAACGAGCTCCGTCGAATTACTTGTCCGCTAGATAATTCACTCGACACAAACATTCGACAACCTTTCGAGACGATCGTTTAACGAAGGATAATCCCTGTTTCATCCCGTGCAGCAAGTTATTGATCGAAAGGATGCTGGCAAATTGCGTTGATATATCGCTTAGGCGGGTACATCTTTTCTTCTCCCCAACGAACTTTCTGTTTGCGCTCGATGCAGGGATAATTCTTGTGGGAAGAGTTATTGCCAGGGTTGCAAGAAGTATTAGATTCCTGGATATCGTGAAGAGGAATGGTTGAAAGAGGGTAGCTCTTTTTTTTTTTGTATTCTTTGCTTATAATTTATTTTTCGATTTTAATGAATAAATGGATGGAAAATATAAATTATTTGAATGTTTCCATAAGAAAATTAATATTCAGAGATATAATAAAATAAGCGTATAGAATTATAAAAAGGTAGATACTACTAATAAAGTTAAGTTAAGGAATATTATAGTATTATAACTTACGATAAAATAATTGAATACATCTAAATTCTCAATTTTCCTTCATCAATATCCTAAAAAATACGAAATTGTCCAATATAATTATATGCTGTACAATTCGTTCTCTCGTCAAAAACTATTTGTTTTAACTAACTTTTATTGGTTAACGTATTGATCCTGAGCGAAAGGTTTAATCATTGCAATCGAATCGACTCAATGAAAAGAATCCTTTAACCCCGACGAAAGCTTGAAAGGCTTGAATTTAATCGCGACAGAGGTCGCGACACGAATGGCCGACTAATGGCCGCAACAAGGAAGCGCCGAATCGTGTTGGTGGAATCCGTGGACAAATTTCCAGATCGACAGTGTGTATACCGGATGTGATTGCTCGCGGACAAAGGCCTCGCCTATATTAGGTAGAACGCTGCCTACCTACTTTCAGAAATTCTGCGCTAACGAGCGAGCCTCGCTCCGCTTTCCACCGCGTGGACATCGCTGCCCCATATCTGCCAAATTGTCGTGAGCCACCGCGTCCTTCTCTTTATTGGTCCTCTCTTTACAATTTATCGAGCGCCGTTCCATTGTGCGCTTCCCATTCTGTCCGCTTGGAGCGCGATAAGCTAAGCTAATTTTGAAGAAATTTCCTCGACTCTAAGAGTAGTAGTTATATATTTGATGTAACTATGATTTTTTTTGTAAATTAGAATTTGAAGTTTTTTTGTAATTTCAAAATTTGGAAATTGATGATAATGAATTTTATGTAAGGAACTAATGTTAATTAGTTAATAAAAGTCTTGCGATATTTCGATTCATTTGTGAGCAGAAAATACTCGTTAAAATTGTCGAGCTCTATTACGAATTATAAAATTTGAAGCTGACGAGAAACAACATGATGAATGATTTGATGAAAGTATCATTGTATGTCTTTTTACATATTGGATTTTAGGATAAGGAAAGTTACAGATCGGTTACAGAAAAATCTTTGAATCGTTTTGGACAGAGATAGCAACTCTATCTTCTTTCTATCTTATTAGAAAACGAGTCGTATAAGTACATAGATATAATAATGAAAATATAAATAGAAAAAAATCTTTATATTTTCAGGATACGTAAATACACGATTTTAATTTTTAAATTCTGTAAAGAAATAGGAATAGAAATAGGAAATTTTTTAAAAAATACTTAATCCAATTCAAATGCTTCCAATCTATATTAAAATTCTATAAATTTGTAAATAATGTTAATATTGTAAATATTTCTCTTTCTTACCTGAACATACGACAAACGAACAAACTGATTTCAAGACAATATCAGTCCAATCAAAAACGATCGAGAGAGCGTTGCTGCTTCGCAATTAAGATCGACAGAATCGATCGATCGAAATCACTCTCAACAGCGCAATTACTTCGAAACTTTATTCATCACCTCGAGCTTATTTCGTCACGTGCTCGACCCTCCCCCTAACTGCCCCTTTCTCGAGTTTTAATTAACGTTTAGGAGACCTCCACCCTCTCGAAACACCTCGTGCGACTGGCGTGACCTCCCCCTCCACGTAAATAAATTAACCCTGAAGAGGACACGTGCCCTTTGGCCCTCGAGATTGAAGACAGGCCGGTTACCCGCAACTACAGGGGTTATTAGGGATGATCGACCGACAAGGGTCGCCTTTCTATGCGAAGACACGAAAATTCTCTTTGGGACAATTGTCTTCTCTGAGCATTGAGCATATCTATCTATCTATCCGTTCTGTAATATTGCAAATATTGTAAAATATTCAAGTTTGAGTCATAGTTGAGTAATTATTGAATTGTAATTATATTAGTAATTATTAATGAATAATTTTATTGAATTTTTTATGAAATGGTAGAAAGAAAAATCTTCTCGATGCAATTGTGCAGAAAAATTACAAGAAAGTATAGCATATCATTTTGCTATTCGTATATAGCACTATAAAATCTACAAGCTGCAACTGGTAACAGATATATTTGAAAAAATATTTAATATTCTTCTTAACAAAAAGAAACTTTGGAATTTCTGATTCTTTAGGTAGGTTTTTGGTAATCAAGATTATAGAGAATTAAAGAATTTTTAAACTCTTTACTCAAATATAAGCTACCTCATTTCCATAGTCGATTCGTTCTTCAGCGAATCAACTAATCCGAAACAAAAAGGCGAATTTCCTCGTCCCTTTTATCTACGCTTTCATCGCCAATTAAATCGGTCATCGGTTATATAAATAGAAGCTCCTGTCATCCGGACCACAAGTGGTCGGATTTCGCAATTGGCCGCGAAACTGGATCCAGTCCAGCCATACTTGGACTCTCGTCAGCCACGAGACTGATTACTTTAATCGTTTCGCGGAACAATCCGAGCTCTCTCACCTTTCCTGCTCCATCTGGACGGACCAGATTCAAGGAAGAGCCGAACGATTAACCCCTAAATACGATACCCAATCGAGTTAACTTTACCAAGTTCGATAATAGCAAACAACAAATTTCATCTTGTTCGAATTATTTATTTATCAATTATTAATATCATCAGTTATGAATCAAGAGAAATTTTAGCCTATAAATATGCTACATTTTACATTTTCGAAAGGAAGAGAGAAAAGCATTCATTCATTTTATTTTCATGATATCATGAAAAACTGGAGTTCCACAAATTGATCGATAAGAATCGATCAAATGACATATCTTTTATCAAAAAAAAAAAAAAACGAATGAATTTTACGTAAACGAAAGAAGTTACGCAATAGGCGAACTCACCATTTCAGAGGCGGCCGCCGACTTCACTTCCGCCAAAAGGGTTGCGGCCGGTGACAGATAAGTTTTGAGGAAGTTCTCCAAGTTGCCGTGATAAGCGCACACCAGGATGTCCCGGGCCTGCCTTATCAACAGATTGATAACGCCATCGCCGTAAATCGGGCCGAGCAAGTTCCGGACCAACGACGCGACGTCTCCGCGGCCCTGCAACAGAGCGCTCCTTTCACGAGTCTGTTTACCAAGGGGAAACGTTATTATACCCGAGTGGAGCCCTTATCTGAACAGGATCGGCGAGGATGTAGAGAGGGGGTTGGGTAAACGAAATTATTAATTTCGAGGCGACAGGTAGTTGAGTGCGATGGAGAAACGTTTATAATTCTTATTACATATCAAAAAAAATGTCGGTGTATCATTTAAAATAATTTTTTAAAAAATTGGATTTTTCTTTTTTTTGGTGGAAAAGAAAGTTACAGTTCGTTGGAAATTTCATTTCACCATGATGAAAATCGTGGTTTTTTCGAATAGTTCGTTGCTTCTTGTTTTTCTAATATTACAAATTATTATTAAATTATTAATATCAATTATTAGATTCAGTTATATTTCTCGTACGGATGTAAAAGTTAAAAATGAGATATAAAGTCTAATGCACGCGTTAAAGGATTTCTTTTTTCTTCGTTCTCACGGCAATTCATTGCAAGAGTTATTACATAAGAACGCAGAGTGAGAGAATATTCGTTAAAGATGAGATTTAATAAAATCCCATTTTTTTTTATTAACAATTAATAAAAAAGGAAATTAATTTAGGAAGATATATAACAAAAAAATATTTAGAGAAGTTAATCGCTATAAATAAATAAATCAATGATAAGAAAAATTTGACAAGTGGATAACAAGTTTGGCTCAGCCGATAACCGTTCCTGCTATCCAGGAACACGAAATTAAAATTTCAGAAAACAATTGATAATTGAATATACAATCCCCATTACCGCTAATGAACGGTATAATGGCTGGCAAAGGTCGAGATAGTTGCATTGTTAATATTCAGCACTTATCACGGACGCAGCAGCACAATGCACGCGTTCTTATCTCCTTATTGTAGCCCCGTGATAAATGAACGAATACCATGAGATTATTATTATACCTGGTTGTAGTGTAGGCCGAACTAGATTAATTCCGCCAGATAGCCGATAATTAATTACATTGTTGCCACTTGTACTTGAAACTTACTTGTGTGCGTCTTCGTCTAAATATTCGTCGTATTAATTATTATTATTGGAAATAGAAAACAAATTTTTGAAATTACGAATACGAATAAGCGTTCATATAGAAGTGTTCGAAATTAAAATCAATTTAAATCAATTTTTAGTACGAATATCAATTTAATAAAACTAAATTGATTTAAATGTATAAAAAAAGATTAGAATTTTATTAATATTTTGTTAGAAGCAAGTATTTAGTATTAATAGAATAGTGCATGAAGACTCGCACTAAAGTCTTCATTGTGAAAATGGATTATTCATATGTGATAAAGATTGAATAACTACATTTGATCTATGAATAAATGCCCGTTATTAAAGAAGATTAAAAATATATTTCTTCGAAGAATATTTGAAAACAGTCGAGCAACGAGCTAGGATTAAATTTCTATTTAAGCGTCTTTTTAAAATATAAGCCTCGATTTTCAATTTCAATCAATATCTCAAGATTGTTAAAATCAGACATATTTAAATTGATAATTAATCTAATTAATTGAGCTTAACATCTTTCCTGGCCATTGATTGTTGAACTTGAACGAAGAAATAACGAATTATTTATTTATTTTCGTTTCATGAAGATTGCTGAAAACGCTAAAAAGCTCTACTGCACAACACATATACAGCGTGAATTCCTCGATTACGCAACATCTTGGGTTTCCGCGTTCCCAGAAGCGTTTTAACGTGAACTACGGTTCCGGAAAAGGGAAGCACTCGACGACAACCGAGAGGTAACGGTCCTCTCTTCCATATTGTTATGGAATCATGGCTTACGCCATAAGAATCTGTTATCGACGTCGATCTCCCCCAACGGTGAGAACAAACAAGGGGGAATAAATTGAATTTTATGCCAGCACCCGTTCTTCTGCACTTTCAATGAACTCTCTGGGAACTTGTTTTTCGGGGGAGTAAGATTAATTCGACGAGCATCGACGCCTTCGTTTCTTCTTGCTTGTCTTCTCACCGTCTTTATGCAAACTGTATTGAAATTGGAACGTTCATACATCCGGTCAAATTTGATTCGAATTTTCTTAATTGTACTCGTAGTAGTAACATATTCGCAGGTATGTAGCAAGATAACAATGTATTAAGTCGAGTTGTTTTTATACTGTCTCGTGTCTTTATTCTTATTGTACTTGATTTACAATTGATGTGCAATAGATTTTTATTAAACATAATTCTTCAAAAATTTAATTTTATCTTTAAGTTGAGAATCCAAGTTTTAAACGTAATTGTAGAGCAAAAATGATTCGTTTCGATCTATTATGAAAATGTCTAATGAAAATCAATTTGATCAATTTGATTTTGACGAGGTTAAGAACTTATCTCGATGAAAATGAATTATTTAAAATTTAAAATAGAAATTTCTAAATTTTAAATAATACAATAACAATTTTTCTTCGTTGTTAAGTATGTTTCCTCAATTCCAAATAATCGAACGCAAATTGCACGCAATATTTTCAATATGAAATAAATAAATCGAACAGGACAAAGCGTGAACGTCATAAATTCCATAATAAATCGAAAGGGATAAACTATATACGAATCTCCTCCCCCAAATATTAAAAAAAAAAGAATTTCGTCCCTCGCCTTCATCCACGCGAATCGAGGCGATCCAGTTTTCGAGCAAAGCTTGCCGAGTCCAGACACACTTTTCGGTTGGCTGGAGGGGGCCGGATACTGTTGCTATCCGCTGGAGGATCGCTCGGACAAGTGGCATGCGTCCTCCCGGCGGCGATGTGGGTGCATTATATCGGCGCGCATCGTTACACCGGGCTGCATAAACACTGTGGTTTAACGGCCGCTCGGCCGATGTAACCATTATACACGTGCTCGATCGCCCACGTGTTTCCGCCCCCATCCGCCTCGAGACGAGCCTTTTCGAAAGATTACGCGAGGAATGTAAAATTGGTCCAATATATTATAATTAGTAGAAAGTTGGAGAAATAAATAATACAAGGAGAAAATACGTTTTTAATTTCTGGAAATTTTGTGCAAATTTTATTGTTGGATATTGGGTATATTGAAAAGAGAAAAATATTTGATTAAATTACCGATCGGTGGAATATTAATAATAAATAGACTGAATGCAAAATGTATGTAATACATGTGGAGATTTTTTGGAAACTCAGGGAATGTTTACAAAAATATACGAGAATATTAGATTGTAATTTTAATTATCTACCATATTCCACGTGAATACTTTCACGTAAACAGCTCTGTTATATGCGCTTCTTTTCACGTAAATTATTATAATGTTCGTCTCTTCGTTCAATCTTTACTTTGCACGCGATAAATAAACGTACGATAAAGCTGTTTCACAAGATCTAAAAAATCGATGGATGAAGTCGAGCGCATAGATGAGTTTTTAAATTAGTTAAAAAAAAAGTTTAATTCCAACGCGAATGAAAACTATATAATAGAGGAAAAAAAAAATATAACAAACGATTAATTACCAACAAGTATAACGCGTACCGTGACATTTTCATACGCGAAACTTACTTTCGAAACGTTACAAACATAATAATAATTCACAAACGTCAAGAAAACCAAGCTGAACAAGGTAAATCGAATAAATTCCATTCTCCTTTGAACAATGATCTAGCAAAGATCAAGCGAACAATCTGGGAAGAAAGAAATCTAAATCACAATTTACACGAAAGCAAAGCTCGAATACGAATTGACAGCCACTTGTCAATTTGTAATGTCCCCCCCGATTACACGGTTCGAGCAACTGTTACCGTGAACGAGTAGTATAAATCAGCTATTGTCTCGCTCTCGTCGTGCTCCCGCCGGGTATCGATAATTTTCGTTCGTCGAATGGGTATTATTTTGCACGAGGTATATATATATAACAGGGCTGGCTCGTCATTTCGGTGCTCGTCAGTGCACCGATATTTGGCCGGTCGAAATTTATGGGGAAAGGGTAAGTCGAGAGGGTGGTCAGGATTTCCATGGGGGATTCTGGGCGGAGGATTCGCATAAATTAATCACAGCGGTTTTAATCAGCCACACATTATGCTCGTATATTGTTTATTAATGCGTTTGCTCGAACACACGCACCACCGAGAGCAATTTATTTACCCTTCCCTGTGATTATATCGTGATTTATTTTCGAATTGTGGATCGATGTTTGGGAACAGGTTGGCTGGGTTGTGAATATAACGCATTTATGATCATACGCGGCCTGTTTTCATTCATTACGAATGTTTGATTCCAAGAAGGGGCATCATCGTGAACAATCATTTTTTTCTGATAAAAGAATGATAAAAGTAAGTAGAGTACAATAGTTTTTTGAATTATCTGAAAATCGATCACAAGATTTTTAAGATTAATTTTATTATATTTATAAGCAATTTGTAAATTGATATACAATAATTTCTCTATAAAAATTAAGACGAGTATTGATTTTTAGACCAAGATTCCTAAATCAACACTAAAAAATCCCAACTTCTCACAAATGTCAAACCAAAAACCGATGAAAAACATCGTTCGATTAATTAATCAACCCGAAAGTGGCGACGTTTCGATCCCAAAAACCCCTTCATAACCGAATCAAAGATACTTCAAACGAATTTCACCCTCGAAACTTCACCCCACATCGAGGACCAACGAGGATACAAGAGCCACAAGAGAGAAGAGGAGAGAGGAGAATCGGCGCAACCCTTTTCCGAACACCCGCGGAATTGAAATCGAGGGCGCTTGATTAGCCTCTTTGTTTAACCGACCGCTTTGTTCCGCTGTATCTCTCACGCCTGCCAATTTGCATCCGTGAATTTCGAGTTTGAAATGTATTGTAATTTGGTCGAGTGGAATGGATGTTTGTTGGGCCCACAATCGAAATGTCGTAGGGGCTAATCTTCTTTTCTATTCTAATATGAATATTAAATTGAAATATTGCTAATTAAATTCGAATTCTCTCTCTCTCTCTCTCTTTTCAAAAAGTCATCG